CGCGCCGGGCGCCGCCGCCCTGGCCGCCATGTGCTCCCAGCTCTGGTTCCTGACGGACCGGCGCATCCGCGAGGACTACCCGCAGGTGCAGATCCTGCGCGCCCTCCGGCAGCGCTGCTCCGAGCAGGACGTGCGCTTCCGGGCGGTGCTCATGGACCAGATCGCCGTCACCATCGTCGGCGGCCACCTCGGTGAGCGAGGCGGGCCCCGGGAGGGCGGGGAGGCGCGCCGGGGTCCCAGAGAGCCGGCGGGGTGAGCGCGCTCACCCGGGCCTCCCCCAACCAAGCCTGCTTCGGGCCCCACAAACCAACCGCTATCCCCCGCGAGACCTCTTGGGGTCGGAGAAAGCCCCTAACCTTGACAGCTTCCTTGAACCACTACCATCTGCCCAGAGGCCAGCATTTGAGAACGTGATTTAATTGGCTTACGGGACTTTGTTTGGTGAGGAACCCAAATTCACCTGAAGCCGCCCGGGTGTCCAAGGAAAATCAAGCTGCTAAGCCCAAATTTGCAAATTCTGGTTGCATCGATACCCTGTCAGTTTAGACTCTGAGATTTCTAGAACCCCATACTAAATTTACAAAATTGCAATTAAGATGAATGTTTTAAAAAGTTTTCCAGGAGTATATAAGTATCGGTAATGCACTACATAGGACATTATTCCCAAACTAGGAACCTACGTATGGGGGAAATCTGAGAAGCAGTGGAGTCACCTCTTGAGTGTAAAGTGGGAGTGTAGACATTTGATGGGTTTCTTTAACTCATCCTTTTTTCTAAAAGTGTTGAATTCTGATTCCAGAAAAGCCAAGATTTCAGGTACAGACCATTCTGGCCTCACTGACCATTCCAGTGCTGTGCCCAACAGAATTTTTTGGGTAAGACATGGTTATCATCCATGACCCTGATCTCAAAAGATTAAGTATGTTTTTAGATATTCTTAATAATCCTTACAAGCCCTCTCTGATTTAGGAATCCGTGACTTAGGAGCCTCTCACTGGCCTGCTTTTTGAGTGGTTCTAGTTCTTCACTGGAGGTATCCAGCCTTCTCAGGGGGTCTAGGACTAGTGGGGGTGGGGGGTTGGGCCCAAATCATGGTACTTCTTGGGATACTATTTATATTATTTCAACCATATCTGGTTAAATAGGCTCATAATTTGTTACTTTTCTTTGGTGAGGAAAGGGATTCCAAATTCTGAACAGGCTACTAACAAGAGAGATTTTAAATATGACCCGTTTCTTAGTGGAATATATCAGTTACAGATCTTCCATCCACAGTTTATGTAAACCCTTCATATGTGACAGATCATATATCCTGTTGGAGAAATATACTACATAGTATAGGTGCCTTACATATAGCCTAAAGCAGTGTCTTTCAAACACAAAGGGTACCTTCTTTTTAGCCTTGTTTTGCTAAAATTCTCACAGTTAATGTAGAACTAGATTCCTGAACAGGGAATCTGCAGACCTGGATTCTTATTACAGCTTTGCTGTTAACAAGCATGTTGGCTTTGCTATGGGCAAGTCACTTTATGTCTTTGAATCTCAAGTTTCTCAGTTATAAAACTAAGGGTTAAGGTTCCTCCAGCCTTAAAGTTCTCTTTCAGTACCATATTTAAATTGGATAATCTGTATGTTTTACTGATCTAGATTAAGTCCTTAATATATACATCTTTTCACCACCAGGATGAGTTTGTTTGCCTATTTATTTATTTTACAGCTCGTAAAGATGTCTTTTGAGAGATAGTAACCAAAATTCTACGTCATGTTCCTGTTGTAAACCCATCATGAATTCTGTAAAAGAGTAGGAAAATGCTGTCTGTATCTAAAACCCCAGTTTAAATAATCAGTCCTAGAAGAAAGAGAAAATTAAATTTTAGTGCTGCAGGAAACATTTAAACCCTTTTGTTTAGTGTCTTAAAATGTATTCATGTGTGAAAAATATCTCAATCTTTTCACAAACCAGGAGTTACTTTTTAACTACAAGAAAATTTACACAGCTATTTGCTTGGTCAATGGAGAAATTGAAGACAGGATTTTTTTTTGTTGTTTTATTTTTTTTCTCTAAAAATTTTAAGACAGGTATTTTTTTGGTGCAATTTTAAATTTTTGTTAATTCAGAGGTAGCCAGCACAAATCACAACACATAAAACAAACCTATTAGGTTGCCATTTCTGCTGTGCAAAACTGTCAAAAGATTTATTTGTTGTGGGAGTAGTTAAAGCACAAGAAAGTGAGTTCCATAAGAAGAGTGACCTTGTTTGCTCTGTTCAGTGCTATAATAGTGACTAGAAGAGTGCCTTGCACATACTAGGTGCTCAGTAAATATTTTTGAATGAATGAAGACATGAGCTCTATTTCCCAGTTTCTTCTATATTCAAACTATAGGACACACTTGGCAATTTGCTGAACTAAAGTATTCCTCTGAAAAAAATCCAGAATTCACTGGCTTTGGAACATAGAAATATATAATTACAATGATATTGATACTATTTCCCATTTGAAAATTATAGAATGTGAGAGCTGGGAAGGACGTCGAGATTATACATTCTAATTTCTTCATTTTACAAAGGAGAACCTAAGCCTCAGAGAGATGAAATGACTTCCTCAGTGCTATCCAGCTAGTTAGTAGCAAACCTGCAGTTAAAAAACGTGTTCTTCTAATTCCCAACCCAGTTGTATGGAATAGATATGTTTAGGACATCCCAATCTATGTTATCTTTCTCAGGATACGTAGAATTGAATTGAGTTGAATTGCAGCTAGACTTTGCAAAATAATTTTATTGTTTAGGAAATTAAGATACCACCTTTACAAAGCCTTTGTTTCTAGTGTTTCTTTAGATGAGTGTAGGAGTATGATGGTGGAACCAATTTGGAGCAGGTAGGGTCAGTGCCTCAACCAATTGCTTAAATTCATTCCTGAGCTTTCCTCTCGAGGGTAATGGGAGACTAAATCCAGGGATTAGAATTTCTGGAAATAGGATTCAGATAAGAGATTAAAACTTTTAAATTTAAAGATTGCAGTTATTTTAAACAAGATTATAGAGTAGACTGAAAATGTTATATAAATGCAAGGTTTCATTTTTATTGTTTTTAATCCAGTAATCTACCCTTCCCAGCATAGATTTGGGTGGGGAGACTCTTAGGGAGAGGGGAATGACCATCAGGTAACTGAAGCAATCCTGTAGAAAACGTCTTCCCTTCACTTTCTGCTGGGTGTAGCATTATGAAAATCATATCCATCTCCATTTCCTTTTTAGAGACAGACAGTTCATTCATTCGTTCAACAAATATTTACTAATTATACTCAATCCTAGGGATAAGGTGGTGATCGTGACAAAAGTGCACATAATAATAATAGCCATGGCAAAATGTATATGGTGCTTACTCTATGCCAGGCATAGGACTAGGTTCTTTTCACATATTAACTCTTACAACCACCATTAAGTGTTGCTGGGCACATAATACTGGCTGGGAGTTAGAACCAACTCTCAGTAATTCTGTCCTAAACCCTTTCTGTCTTATCTCTTCCACTCTACCTCATGCATCAGCCTACACTGACTTCACCATGCCCCTCTGTAGCTCTGGGCCTTTCACTAAAATTCCCTCTGCATAAGATCCCTATCTGGTCCCTTTCATGGTGAACTTTTATTCATCCTTCAAATCTAACACAAGTCACTCATCGCTGTAAAGTCTTTCTGGGTTCCCTCTTCTACACCCAAGTAGTCACTCTCTTTCATCTGCTGCCAAGTAACGTTGCCCATACTTTTTAAAATAGCACTCCTCATATTTTATTGTAATTTATCTATTTACAACGTTTATCTCCCTTCTCCCACTGAATAACTTGGGATTTTTCAAATGTATGCTTTATAACTGGTACATAGTAGGTCTTCAGTTAATGTTTGTTGGATGACTGAATAAAGTGCCTTAAAGGCTAATTTGGAGTATATGAGACATTTACTGTAATTAACTTCTGTGTTTGGGAGATCATGATTGGATGTATAAATGTTTTTGTGATGAGACATTATATGATGACAGATTCACTCGTGAGAATTAAGTTCTTTGACCAACCAAAGGTCTGTATCATTAACTGGCTTAAGAAATAAATACAGTCACAAACTCAGGGACAGATACCAAAACAGAAAAAATGAGTCTGACCTGGAAATGAGGTTGTGTTACCGTTTGTCTCTTAGGAGCAGAATGATTCAGCATTCCTTCCCTTACTTTCAAAGCCGAAACCTTGGTGGCTATATGGCAATTTCTAGGTCAGGTTTTTTTTAAATCAAAATACTCTGGGATCCTTTTAGTTGGTTCTTTGTAGTAATCCGGTGAGTCATATATAAAAGGGTGGAATCCTAACTAAGTTTGTATAAAGAAACGGTCTTACCTCAGCCTGCCAAAGGACAAGCAAAAGCTCACAGAGAAAAGGTGGACCCCGTCACTGTGCAAAAAGACACTAACAGGAAAAGGTACCATGCTAACTTTTGTATAGAAGGCTTGATCTTTAATCTCTGTTTCTGCTGAAGGCCTATGCCAGACACCTTGTAATCTGAATAACGCCACTATACAGCACTAGTGGAAAGAAAGGTCAGAGAGTGAGTAAAAACACCTACCATATAATATATCCAAATTGACGTGAGTGCCGCATGGATACACTTTACCCCATGGGTCCACATTTACATCTGTAGGCTGACCTCAAGGACTGAGGGTGGGTTGGATGTTTAATTTATGTTTCTAGTAGTAGTTTTTTAGGAATACCTCATGAACTGTGTTAAGGAGAGTTTTAGAACCAGTAGATTGGGATCCTTCATGGATCTCAAAGCCCTCCTTGTAGATTTCTGATCCATCTGTTGCTGCTACCATATAGTTCCACTAAATTTGTTAGGCTTGCCTTGTGTAAGGGGGTACAGCCCTCACTCAGAGAAGTTTGTACCATCCTCATCCATCCACGCCCTCTTGTCACTTTCCTCACTGGCAGGGAGTTCACTGACATTCAGGTATGTCAGTGCTGGCCTCACCTCACTCCAGCCACTTCCCTGGCCACCCTACCCAAAACCCTGAGAGAATTCATCGTATTAGGGCTTTATATTGTTTTAACACAAACCTACAACATGATATGAAATTTTCGGTCTATTTCTATTTGTTCTTTCCCCATTAAAAAGTAACTCAATATTCCACTATGAGAAAGTGGTAA